AAAAAAAAAAAAAAAAAAAAAAAAAAAAAAAAAAAAACCTAAGGATGCCTCACACCATATACGAAAACTAACTCAATATGTATCAAAGACCTAAAACTACAATACTCTTAGAAGAAAACATAGGTATAAATACCTGTGACCTTGAATTGGGCAATGGTTTCTTAGATATAACACCAAAATCACAAGCAATGAAAATGAAAAAAATAGATAAACTGGACATCATCAAATTTAAAAGTTATTTTGCCTGAAATGTCACCATCAAGGTGGTGAAAAGACAGTATTTTCAAATCACACCTGGAAAGGGACTTCTCTGTTATAACTCAACAATAAAAAAGATAAACAAACCAATTCAGAAAATGGGCAAAGGACTTGAATAGACATTTCTCCAAAGAAGACATACAAATGGCCAACAAGCTTATGAAAAGATGCTCAAAAGATGTTCATTAACTATCCGGGAAATGCAAATCAAAACCACATTTCATACCCACGACACCGTTTCATACCCACGACACCGTTTCACACCCACTAGGATGGCTCGGATCAACTAGACAGATGAAAACAACTACTGGCGAGGATGTGGGGACTGGAGCACTGCTGCACTGCTGGGGGGAATGTAAAATGGTGCAGCTGTTTTGGAAGACAGTCTGGCAGGTCCTCAAATAGTTAAGCATACAGCTACTGTGACCCAGTAATTCCATTTCTAGTTATATACCCAAGAGAAATGAAAACATATGTCCACACAAAAACCTGAATGTGAATGTTCAGAGCAGCACTATTTACCACAGCTCAGAAGGAAACAACCCAAGTGTCCATCTACGAATGGATGGATGGACAAAACGTGAACGCTGCTCAACCACAGCAAGGAAAGCACACCGACACCAGCTACAATGTGGGTGATTCCCAGGCTCCCACCTAGGGGTGACCAGCCTGCCCTGGCTGAGCTTATCGCTGTGTGGTGAGGACCCGTGATCATGCTGCCAAAGATAAACCCTACATTCTACTTCGTCTTCTCGATGACTGCGGGTTTTTAAGCAACCAAAACTGAGATCATCCCGAGTTTTTTTATCCTTCAAACCAATTCAATCATAAGCTCTCACTGAATGCACTTTAGCATAATGACTCCAACTTCCAACATCACAAATATACTGCATTTAACTGCAGCCTGGTGCTGGAGGTTTAAACCTCTCCCTACACTACAGGGTTTTGTTCCAGCGTTTCTCCAGGTGCCTGGTTGCTCACTGTGTGTGTGCGCCTTATCTGGGCACTGCCTTGCTCACATCTTTTGCCTAATTTTCCAAGAGTCGACAATTTCCATTTCTGAAGGTCCTTTATATTAAAGGTATCAGCTCTGGGCCGGCCCGGTGGCGCACTGCTACAGTGCGCCGCTTGGGAAGCGCGACGGCGCTCCCGCCGAGGGTTCGGATCCCACATACAGACCGGCTGCTCACTGGCTGAGCGAGGAGCGGGGGCAACGCCGAGGGTTGTGATCCTGTTGCCGGTCCCGGTCCGGTACGGGCGCGACACTGAGGGTTGCGATCCGTTGCCGGTCACGAAAAAAGACAAAAATAAATAAATAAATAAAAATAAAGGTATCAGCTCTGTTCTACTGCAAACTCCCAACTTTTTTTTTCTTAAAAGATGACAGGTGGGCCGGCCCGGTGGCGCACTGCTACAGTGCGCCGCTTGGGGGCACGGCGGCGCTCCCTCCGAGGGTTCGGATCCCACATACAGACCGGTTCCCGCTCACTGGCTGAGTGAGGTGCGGGAGCAACACCGAGGGTTGTGATTCCGTTGTCGGTCCCGGTCCAGTACGGGCACGACACTGAGGGTTGCGATCCGTTGCCAGTCACGAAAAAAGACAAAAAGAAAAAAAAAAATGACGGGTAAGGGGATCTTAACCCTTGACTTGGTGTTGTCAGTACCACGCTCTCGCAAGTGAGCCACAGGCCGGCCCTAGCATGTGAATCATTTGAAGTCAGGGAACAGAACAGCCTGTGAAACACACAATGGCCCATGACACAGGCAGATCAGTCTGCACATACAAGTGCTCATGGGCCATTTCAGGTTCTGGGCAACGTACCCTCAGTCGGGTCTCTGAACGTCTCCTCCTTCAGCTCCAAGGCAGGCTCTGGACCCTGCTGAGATGGGGGAGACACCGGCTTGGCAGGTGGGGCAGTCAGCTCACTGCCTGGAGAGCTTGTAGGGAGTGGTGTGCCTAAAGAATTCAGGGGTCCCTCCTAGAGGGAGGGACAGAGTCACCTCATACAGCCAAAGATCCAGGGTGAGGGGGCCTCTGCCTAACCCATGGTCTTGTCAAATAAGCCTAGGGGTTGCGGAGAGGGCAGCAGAGCATCCCACCCCATCACGAGATTGTTGGTAGCTTCCCTCTGCCCTGTTCCTTTTCCATGTAACATGTTAACAGTGGACAGCACAGGGCCACACACATGTGCACAAAGCACCCTGTACCTTGACTGCTGCTCTCGGGGTCTCGGCTGCCATCTGTACCACAGGTATGTCACCCACTGAGGCTGAACATGGCTGCCTGGAGAAAGAGAGTCAGCAGAGGCCTGTGCCCCCCACCCCATGTCCCCTATTCCTACACTGAGCTGCTACCTGCCTTGCTGCACTTGTCACGTGAACACTCCATTAGCAAGCACCAGATACCCCGGGCTAAGCCAAGTGACCCACCGCAAAGCCGTCCTTACCAACCTCACCCAGCATGGAACCACTTTGATTGCGGCTCAGGGAGAAGCAGACGAAGGAGCTCTGAGCAACTCAACAGAAGGGAAACCACAAGGACATGCTCATCCTTTTTACTGTGCAACTAGCAAAAGGCTTTGGGCAGGTAGGAGGCTGGGAAGGGATGGTGAGGACTCCCCTGGCCGAGCAGTTCTCACTCAGGATGTGGACTAAGAAATGTCAGGAGGCAGCAGACTCTGCCAGTCCAGCCCTGGGAGGTTCCACTGGAGACACCCCAGGTTGGGCACTGGCCACGTGTCTCTTAATGGCAGAACACTATGAACCCCAAAAATAGCAGCACAAGGTGCTCACGCTCAGTGTGTGCAAGTGACCGGAGGAAGCTGCCCTGAGTGGTGACAGGCTATGTGTGGCTGTTGGAATTATATCTCCCAATTCAGGTCACGTCTGCCCCTGGAGGGGACGTGGGTGGAGTTGGCGCCTGCTAGGGCACCTGCCATGTCCTGTTTTCACTGAGTGGCAGCCTGTGATCAACCCATCCTTCTTCAAACCTGAAGCTCGCTATCGCACAGCAGCTAAGGCAACTGACTCCTGAGCACCCTCTGTGGTCTCAGCATTGGGGACTGAACTGAGACCCGTTTTCCCCTGAGGCTCCTTCTCTCAGGGGGAGGAGTGTACCTGGCATCTCAGTGGCATTTCTGGACTTGGGCTCTCAACCCTGCACACCACGGAGCAGCACCCCTGCCACCCCCACACTTACTGGCTCAGTGGTGAGTTCTCTGCAGCCGCAGGCCCAGCACTCAGCTGTCCGGCTGCAGGCCCCGCTGGCCTGGTCTCAGGGCTTTCTGAGGACTGGGCCTCTCTGCTGTCCAGCTTGGAGCCACCTCCAAACGGGTTGAAGTTTGGGTCATCCAGCTTATCCCAGTCCAGGTGGTAAGAGCCTTGGGGAGCAGGTCTGGGGCACTCATCTCCGGCTTTGCTCCCACCTCCTTCTGCCTCTTGGCTGGTTTGCTCCTGCCTGGCCTCCAGTCCCTCTCCCAGTCTCCTGGGTGGGGACACTCTTCTGCTGGTGGTATCATCAGAGAAGCCAAATTCTAGCCTTACCGGCTTGGCCCTTGAGAAATCAGCCATTTGGCCAACAGCATCTTCTTTCTGAGGACTTGGGGACATGGCCCCACCAGCCTTCAGTGAGCCAGAGGTGTGTGCACATGGAATTGACTGGGCACTGTCTGCTGGCACAGGGGCGCCCAGGGCCTCACCAGGCAGGTCTGCCTGGGGCACTACTGCACATGGTCCTTCAGGGCTCACGCCGAGAGGTGAAGTGGCCACGGCTGAAGAAGCAGAAGCTGCCTCATGTGAGCTTTCCCCTGTGGCTCTGTGAGGAATCTCCACTTTGTGTTGGGACGCTGGCTGGGGAGAGTCTTCTAGAACCTTCGAGGTAGACGTCATAGTTTTATCTAAAGAATAAGAGCTCATGTCTTCCCCCAAGGCTTGTTCAGGGCTTCCAGACATTTGCCCTGGAGGCGCCGCCTGGTTTTCAGGACTTCCTGGGCTCCGGGGAGGACTTGAGGAAGCCAGGTCAGCCAGGGGGGCCGTGCCAGGCTCACCGGAGCTGCCATCATCAAAGGCTGGGTTTGAGTCCACTAGAGGAGGGTAGGCATCGGCCACTGCTTGTTTCTGGAGAATCCTGTTGGTGGTTTTGGTGTCTACTTCCTTGGTGAACTGCTGCCTTTTAGAAACAGATTTCGTTAAAACTAGGTGACATAAGTTCTTACGACCTCATGGTGCCTTGACACCCATTTTAAATATAAGTCTGAGTTTACCCCACCAGAAGCAGGGCTCAGTCACCTTCAACACAGTTTCCAAGTCTACAATGTGCCACCCTCAGTTCCTCAATGATGTCATTCCAGACATCTGCCTCAGTCAACTGCCCTTGGTGCGCACCTCCCTATGGGGCAGCTGGGTACAACCTGCCTGACAGGCCCCACTGACCCTGCACAATGGGGTGGAGGGCTGCACATGGGATTTCAGGTCACAATGGGTGTCTCCACATTGCTGGTCTGTTTAACTGTGCTCATCAAATGTCCTACTAGGTGCCCGACCCAGACTTCTCCAGAAGCCTGTACCGTCTCCATTGTTCACACAGTGCCTGTCACTAAGCATGACGTCAAAAGCCCAGGCATCCTGGATTGACTGGAACAGGACGACACAGCAAAGACTGCTGTCTGGGCATTACAACACCACACCCTAATGGCCCAAGCTGGCAGCCAAAGACAAAAACCTACAGGCCTCTCTCCCGGGCTCCCAGCTTTCCTGCTATTTCCTTCAGATGGATCACTCAGGCATTTGCCAACAAGCTTAGAGTGACCCACACCCTGTCCCCCAACACACACCTGCCAGCAGCCTCACTCCCCACCCCCCTTGCCTGAGAGCCTCACCTCCATAGGTGGCCTCCAGGTACTGTGTGCCCTAGGGCCGGTAGGTACTACAGCCTTCATTTCTGTTTTGTGTCTCTGCTGTTACCAGAGAGCTGCTCTTCATCTTAAAGATCCTAAATTACAACGCCAAGGAAACTACTGGCTTTTCAGTTACAGCCGGCCTTCCATATCCAGAGGGTCATGGCTTCCACCCATGACTGGTTTGAATCTGCAGATGCAGATCCCACACACAAGAAGGGTGACTAAGGGACTTGAGCATCCTGGGATTTAAATCTGCGGGGGTTCCTGGGCCATTATTCCCCAGATACCAAGGGAAGAACGTACATCTTAGTCCACGTGAAAACATTAGCTAAAAACAGAATACAAGAATGTTCAAGCAACCCTATGTTTTCACTTAAATTTCAGCTAAGTACACATCCACAGGTCAGTGCTGGCAGCCACCTGGGGACACACAGGCTCCGACGGAGCAGAGACATGACCAACCAGCCATCCAAATTTTCTTTGCTAACTTACTCTCCCCTCTAAGGCGGGGACCAGCAGCTATGTGGTCAGGGACAGTCAGAGCACATGAGAGTCAAGCTTTTCAATGGAGACAAGGCAGGCTGAGGTAAAGCATGCTGCCTCTAGATGGAGCAGGGCCCAAGTGGCCATAGCAGCTCCGCTCTGGCATGTGGCCACAGCCAGCTGCCACAGGTGCAGACAACATCTTCCTAGGAGACCGCCATCCCTGTAGCACCTCACCTCTAACAACCCAGGGTAGCAGATGTGCCGTAGGCAACAGGGCCCCTGACAGACACAAAGGCTTGTTGGGACAACTTGGAGGTTGGATGGTAGGACTAGGGGTCAGAACCACAATGTAGGAGGGTGTGAGCTGCCACTTCTTGGCAGTTATCGGACCTCAGCTGAGGAAATCCCACACTCAGCACCCTACTCTTTTGTTCTTCAGCTTTGAAAATGTTAGAATGAAGAAATGGGGGTAAGAAGCTAATCAGACTGCTCTCCTCCCACACAGCTGATACCTGGGGTGGTGATGACCTCCCAGGCTGCCACCTCAGCCATGCTCAGGATGTGCACTGGCAGAGTTAGCACCCAGCCGGCCACTCCCTAGTCCCCACTGAACAATGGCTTGAGAAAGACTGCTACTCAGGTATCATACTTGTCCCCAGTATGCAGTTGAATTCCAGGAAGGAGATGAACTGTCACATGGCAGGGACGCCCGACTTGAGCCTCTCTGGGCCACAACGCTGGGCCCCTCCTGGCTCCTCTGCACCTTCTGCACCATGGCTGGCTGTGGGGAGGCCCTGGAGGCACAGGGCAGAGGGAAGACCCTTCCTGGCCTGAGAAGCAGGTCAGACCCATGACAGCCCAAAGGTAACTTCTCTCTTTCCTTCTTGGGGTTGTTGTAAAAGAACAATATTTAACTCATTATAATGTCACTTAGCCAAATCTCAAAAAGGAAAGTACAAAAATGAAATTGAAAATTACCAAGGATGTACGGCAAGAGCAACAGACTCAGGTCAGAGGTGCTTCCAAAGGGGAGAGGTGAGCACATGGCCCAGAGGACCCAGGAAATGTCCCCATATTTACAGACAACATTTTACTTAAATTAAGTAAAGGACACATCAGTGATAGTTTGTCCCTTATGCTTTTCTCTGCATATTTGAAATCTGTTTAAAAAGAAAAGCTCTGAATACCTAAGTTAGCAAAAATGAGCGTGAAGTGGTGCCAGTGAGGCCCTCCCCGTTCTGGTGGCAGGTGTGTCTCTAGGCTCCTGGACAGGTTAATTCAGCTGCAGGTCAAGAGCAGGGACCCCTCTCCAGGCAAAGACAGGAAAGCGTGGCACAGGCTGTCGCTCAGCGTTGGGTCGGCCAGCGACCACAGGGCCCAGGCCACACCTAGCACCCCATGAACCCCCACCACACGGATTCTGACTGGTCTCTCTGATCTCCCCATGTACAGATGCTGAGAGCGCAAGAGCTGGATGAATGCGAAGTGAGAGAGAGAGAAATGAAACTGCAGCTCATCCTTCCCTGGAGACGGGATAGGGACTTTTCACCAAGTCAGAGAAACTAAGGCCAAGCCCAAGCGGTTGGTGAGGGCACCGGAGAGAAGTCAAGTATGAAATTAACACTTATTCCAAGTATTTGATGGTCAGCTTTTCCACTAGCAAATGGGCCACACACTACATAAACTCAGAGATCAGGGGAACTGCAGCCGAGAGGTGACAGAACAGGACAGAATGTTCCTGAAACATGTGTCAAGGATGGAAAAGTTGTAGGTACTAAATAGCACAAACACTTACTTCTCTTTCTGTGTCCAGACCTCATGAGAGTTTTCTAATTGAATGGTGCCATCCAAAGCAAAAGAAGTCTCAAGTCCGCTTGTCATACTAGGACTTAAGATCCGGTGCGTCTGTGGGTCTCGTAGAGGTGTCTGAAAAGTCACCTGTAGGGTGTGGGGAAGAAAAAGGACCTGCTTAATCATTCAAGTTGTCACAACCATGCTGGCAGCACCATGCAGCTCAGAGGTCACCAGGGTGACCTGACAGCCACACATGGTAGAATTCACACTTGCCTTTGTAGCTTTGGCCAGGGTCTTGGGGGGCACATTTTCTTTCTGTGACAGGCGAAGAATAGATGTTCTTCCGGTAAGCTCTGGTGGTGAAAACAGGAAGTCACAGTTTTCTGTACTTTTTTCACTGGTGACGTTTTCATCATTTAAGACCTGCAGACTCATTCTGGAAAAGCAAAATGTGTCTGCATCAGCATGAGGGTGACAACACTGGTCCTGTGGACACAGACATGATCCAGGGACAGAGCTGCCCTGCAGTGCCGCAGGGCTGACACCCCCTTCCCGCACAGGTGGGGTCAGCACCCGGGAGCTCCCACCTCACACAGGTGTCCTCTGCCAAGAGGGGCAGAAAGAGCCTTAGAGTGAGTCTCTGGTATGCTTCAGGGGGCTCTGACTCTGACCAGGCAGGAGGACCTGCTGGCAACACTGCCACCTCCTGGGACCACCAAGAACTAAGAAAGGAAAAAAAGACAAAAAAGACCTTCAGGCTGAGATGAGAAAGTCCTTATTACAGCCCCTACTGCTGAATTAATTTGTCGGGTAAAAAGAGACAGGAAAATCCTAGCCTGTAAGAAAACCAGAAGAGCCGGAGGAAGCGCTGGTTTTCCCACAGGCCTCTGGCAGGACATGGAAGCTAAGGCTGAGTCAAGAGAGGATAGGAGAGGGGATCTCGTTTGTCCTCCCTCAGTGCAAGGTGTGTGGAAGTGGGAAAAATAAACAGAAATCAAGGGCAAAGCTCGGGTTTTCGGTATGAGAAATTGGATAAAAGGCAGGGGAGGAACGTGCTAGATTGCTGTGGGCACAAGCTTAGTACTCGGGGTGATGGCGGCATAGAGGAAACCTTTCTGGCAGTTCCTGGTCTGGAGGACAGGAGAACAGGGAGCCCAGCCTTTGTCAGGTCGGACTTTCACTGCTGATAGGGGGCCACAGGAGGGGGCTGTTGAGCAGAGGAGCGACAAGCCAGGCTTGTGTCTCAATGCCAGTCTGCGGTGCAAAAGGAGTGACTGTGCTGCGGAAGGTGGAATAAGGAGCCCGGTGATGCTGCTACTGCACCAGTCCTGGACAGAACCGGCAGGGTGGGGGAGAAGACGGTAGGCCCAGTCTCCACGGCAGGTGTTTGAAGATTAAAATAGCCTCGGAGGTAAGATGAGGTCACCCCGGCCGCAGGCGTTGAGGCCGAGGGGAGGCCGTGGACTGGGCCCTGACACATGCACTTCCTGCAGGAGGACGCTGGAAGAGACGGAGGGAGCCGGGCCGGCAGAGGAAGCAGGTGAGGAAAGCCTTCCCGAGGCCTCCCCTCCGCCCGCGAGGAGGGCGGGGGCCGACGCAGGACTTGCGGGCGTGCAGGCTGCCGGTGACCGGGACGGGAGCGAAGGTCTGATTGGGGCGGGCTCACGGGAGAGGGGACTGTGAGAAAGGGACACGGGGTAAAGCAGGGACGTGGCACGCCGCCACCAAGGCCGCAGGGGAGAGGCCGACGCGCGCCGAGGGGGGAGCGAGGGCGCGGAGGGCGCGAGCCGAGCGAGGCGGCGGGCCCGACAATGGGTCCCTGACGAGCGGGAACTGGCTCCGGCGGCGGCACCCGGAGGAGCTGCGGCGGAGGCTTCCCGGGCGCGGCGGAGTCCCGGG